GGAAGTGGATCTGATCTATGGCATGAGCTGGACATACAGATATCTTAGTGAAAAACTGCAAGGGATAATGTTCCTCACTGATTTGCAGCTGTTTGTCATTTTGCTCGTTTTATTTTTAATATTGTTATTTGTTTTTTTTTTTAAAGCACACTAGATTGATGTTCTGTGTGTGTTCAAATGGACATCAAGTGGTCATTTACAGATTGATGTCACCATTAGTTGCACAGGATTTTTTCCTAAGGTTTGGAGCTACTGCTCCCTGGAAATGCTACTTTAGCACCACCATGTGGAAAGAAGGAACAATACTACTCTTTGTATGCTTTCTATGGTTAAAAAAGAAAAGAACAATTGATCCTCTTGAATTTAAGATTACTGAACTTTTGCCTAGTATATTCTAGGAAAAGCAGAATATTGTTTTTAGAGAAAACCTCATTAAATGAATCTTTATTGAGCACTTGTGGATGCTAGGCTTATGCTAAGCCCTTTACGTGTATCATCTCATTTCCTCCATACCATGACCCCATGAACCATGGTTACCCCTCTCAGAGAAGTGGCTTAGCTCAGCAGAACGCCCAGTGTCTATGTAAAGCACCCCAAATGCCTTCTAAAAGTGAACATCAAGAAGATATGGCCATAAAAATATTACTAAGTCCATCCCCTAGACCTTCCATGCCCTGAAGACGAGCTGAGCTATCCAGCTTTCAAATGTGAGCACATGACACATTCCTGTCTCCAGGGCATCATCTTATTATGGAAGGAAAGTCTTACTTCCTGGTCTTCTCTGTGGATCTCATCTAGTTTGATTTTTTGTCTGACAGCTCAAAGAGCTGAGAGTGGAGAGGAGTGAGCTCTATTCTATTCCTGTGGAAACAAAACCTGAGTTGTCCTAATTGCTCGGAAGACTCTGAACAATCAGGCTAAAGATTTTAAGGTTGTTCACCTGACTCCTGGTCACATGACTTGGAAGTTCACAGATGGCAGGAAGATATACTTTTAATTGCAGGCTATATGTTTGTTACTTGAATTTGAGGTTATAAATCTAAACGACATCTTGTTAATATTGTACATCTTTTAATATGAGAGACTTAAAATATGCATGTTAACTCATATACCCTGAAATACTACTAATTACATATTTGCATGTGTTAATAAACATTAGATAATAGCTCATAGCTCTGCTGGAGGCATCAGTCATTTATAGTTTAGTATTAATCAGTAAAGTGACATGCATTGTCTGTCAGCATTTAGTGATGATCACTTGGCGGAATGAAGTATTTGAGGAGTGAAGGGAGGTGGACGCTTGGGCACAGGAAGCCCTTTGGCTGGGACAGGTAGGCCTGAGGGAGCCATCCCTGGTGCAGGGAGGCATGGTCCCAGGTGTCAAAATTTAGGGCAGCACTGGACATGAGCTGCATTGTGGATTAACTCGGCATCAGTGGGCTAGTCTGGGAATTTCATATTTATGATGTTGTCAAGGCTTCTTAGGGCTATGACTATCCATGACTCAGTGACATTGTTTCTGTGTGTTTTGACTTTTAAACAACAGAATTACAACCAAACTTTTGTAACGTAACCCACTGCAGTGTTGGAAGTGAGAAATGCTTAGCAATGACACATTTGTCAAAAACGACACATTCCTATATGGCAGATTCCAGTCTCAGTGCTGTAAATGTCAACTCCTTGTGAGGAGATCCTGACCTCATCTAGTGTTGCAGGTGAAGGCGCTGAGGCGCACAGGTGGATAGCTTGCCAGGGTCAGCTCCTTGGTAACAGGTGGTGCTAGACTGGCACCCAGGCAGCCTGGCTCTAGAGGTCACGGCTCTTGACCATTGTCCAAATTGTCTGTAATTTCCACATAGGTTTTCTAGTTTTTAAAAGTACTATCCACTATGTTTTCTCATTTATGTCTTAAACGTGACTGGGAGGTGACTTTCAGGACCTGAAAGGGAAGAAACTAAGGAGAGTAGAAGGAGCTTAGTGAGATTCAGCTGGGGCATCCAGTGAGTGTGAGAGGCTAGCGTTGGGAAGAATTTGTGAAAATTAAAAAAAATTAGATGTACATTATTATGACTAATATTCACAAGAAAGTTTACTATTCGACTACTTTTTTTCCCCTTCAATTTCAGTCCATTATTCTTGGAGGGAGGGATTCGTTTTCAGTTGCCTTCAGTATATTTCTAAATGACAATAGACTGATCAGGCCTTCCCCCGAAGTATAAGAAATGTTCTGTAGACATTAAGTGATTCTTCATGGGTATAATTGAGAAAGAACATAATGAAGAAAATGTAAATATTTAGGTTTTGAGAATTCTCAATCCAAAATTCAATTTCTGTAACAATGGCAGCATCACAAACTGTCCCTGAGATTAATAATATCACAGGTACTTGATAAATAATTATTTATTGAGTCCCCACAAAGGATGCTCTCTTAACACTTGGTAATCAAATATTGCATGAGACCAGAGGGGTAGAAAAGATGCATTATTTTCACTTAGTGGATAAGGTGATTGATAAAGAGGGAGGAAAAAAGACAGCCAATAACCAAATGGTAGACAGGCAGGAGGTCTACAAACCATGTAATTCGCCTTCTCTAAGATATTTTATTTTATTTTTAATTTTAAAGGTATTTTTATTTTTTAAAATATGCTTTTTATTGATTTTAGAGAGAGAGAGGGAGAGATAACTGAGTCACCTTGGCTGGGCTGATTAAGATATTTTATTTTTTTATTAATTAATTTGTTTTTGTTACAGATGTTTCTCCTTTTCCCCCCATTGACACCCTCCTTCCTGCTCCTGCTCCTCCACTCACAGTATTGTTGTCTATGTCCACTGGTTATATATATGTATATATGTATATATGTATATATATGTATATATGTATATATATGTGTATATATATATATGCACACACACACACACATAAAAATTCTTTGGTTTATCTCTTTCCACCCTCTCCCTCCACCCCCACCCTTCCTCTGAGGTTTGTCAGTCTGATCCCTACTTCCATGTCTCTGGGTCTATTTTGTTCATCAGAGTCAGCATATGAAGGGCTAGCAACATGGGCATGGTAGAATCGTTGGAGCAACCATGTCTTGCAAAGTTCATAGATGGGTCGATAAATGCTCAAATGAAATTGTAGTTTCTTAACCAGGTTTTAGAAACTATACCAAAACAGGAGAGAATCGCAGAGGTCAGGTTGCAGCTCCTATAGAAAGTATGCAGATAAGACAGCACTGCAGGGAATCACAGTGGAGAAATAGCCTACCATCCCTACACATGGACACCCTAACCGGCTTCTTAGTGACGCAAGAAGCAGAACAGTTCTGCAAACATTTGTAAAACCACAAAGAAGGTTTTAAACCATCTGTAAAAGCTCTCATTTGGAAGCTGCTTCTAGCCAGGAAATAATGCAAGAGTAACTGAAATTGTAATCAGAGTCATTGATGCAAGGTTAACATGCTAGGGGAACACAGGAAAACAAAGACATTCTTTTTTTTTTATCCTCACCTGAGGACACTTTTGCATTTATCTTCAGATAGAGCAGGAAGGAGAGAGGGAGGAAGAGAGAGAGAGAGAAACATCAATGTGAAAGGGACACATCGAGTGGTTGCCACCCACCGGACCCCAACAAGGGCTGGGGACAAACTGCAACTGAGGTACATGCCCTTAGCGGGAACCGAACACGGGTCTCTCTGGTCTGCAGGCCGACGCTCTAACCGCTGAGTCAAACCGGTCAGGGCCATAGACATTCTTTAAGAAAAGTAATAGTGGAGGATTTTAAAGGCCCTATAAAAGTAAGAAATACTTCACTGAACTCAATTGCAGGTGTCCCCCTTGTCCCGCCTTTTTTTTTTTTTTTTTACATCTGAGAACATTTTGGTCAGTTTCCTTACTAAGTGGTAGAAATGAAATCAACAGTTTGAGGAAATACAATTATATTCCTGTTTTCATGGTTTTATTAAAAAGTAGGAAGAATTTAGCAGTTGGTTAATCCTGTTGTAAAGACTAATTTAATGTATTAATCTATCCTGTTGTGAAGACTAATTCAAATGTATAAAGGGTGGCCACTAAGAGATTCTGAAAAGCAACCTTATAGTTTTGAAATAGTGCTTTGTGAGTTTCTTTTAAAAAGCATACATATATCACAGATCTTTGGATAACAAAACAAATGTACTTCAGATCCGTATCCTTGAAGAACTCTGAGATGCAATTCAGAATGTCTTCCAGTGGATGGTCCCAGAATGCCACCTGGAGCTGGCGAGAGTAAGCGTTTGGCAAACACAGCCAGTGACCTCTGATTTCTTTCCAATGTCAGCCCTCCGGCCCCACCTTGTGCAACAAGTAAAAGAGACTTTTTTGTCTGGGAAATCCCCAAATGATGTATGTAAGTTTGGAACCAGTAAAACCTATGCTATGTTGGTTACACTGGAATCAAACAGCTATAAATTCCATTACTAACTCTATTCCTTTCTAGCATTGTGAAATTGGGCAGGTTACTTCGTCTTTCTGGGCCACAGTTTAATCATCTGTAAAATGGGAATAAAAATATGCAGAGGATTTACATCTCTATTAGGAATGTAGTGTCAATTATTTTACATTATTGTCTTTTTCACTTAAAAAATGTTTTTTCTATATTGATTTTAGAGAGAGAGGAAGGGAGAGGGGGAGAGAGAGAAAGAGAAAGAGAGAGAGAACTAGAAACACAGATGAGAGAGAACATTGATTGGCCGCCTCCTGCATGCCCCCCATTGGGGATTTGGCCCACAACCTGGGCATGTGCCCTGACCAGAAGTTGAACCAGTGACCTCTTGGGGCATGGGTCGATGCTCAACCACTGAGCCACACCGGCCGGGCTCTTTTTCACTTTTTGATGAACCCTGTGGTAGTAAAATACTTTTGTTGCCTTGCACATTTGTGCTCTATTTTATAGGTTGAATTATCAAGGGCAAAGCTCACTGTCCTTTCTCTCTATTATTGTCTGAGTTGCCTTTGTCTTCCAGAATCCCCTACTTTGAAACTAGCGCCGCCAGTGGGACGAACATAAGCCAAGCAATCGAGACGCTCCTGGACCTGATAATGAAGCGAATGGAGCGGTGTGTGGACAAGTCCTGGATTCCTGAAGGGGTGGTGCGGCCCAATGGTCCCAGCTCTACAGATCAGTTAAGTGAAGAAAAGCCGAAGGGGACATGTGGCTGTTGAACAGTCAAGTGAGCTACACAGTAATTTCAGTGGCCCGTGTCTGTAATCTTCTCTGTGGGTGATACATGGCACAGAGAGAGATGAACGGGCATTGTGTACAAACTCCTTCTCACCGTCCCATTTAGACCAATCAATAAAGCACCCAGTTTTAAAATAATTTTGCTGCCGCTTTAAAAATATTTCTTTAAGATTCAGCCTGAGAGTTAGGAGAAATATTGCACATAGCCAAAAGTGCCTTATAAAACCTTAGCCTGTGGCAGTAGATCATTCAAGGATTCGGGATTTTGTGGCCACAGAAGAGTAGTACATTTATTATGAAGAATGACTGAAGATATCATCACCTGCCTTAACATAGATTGGCCCAGCGCCCCACATTCAAGATCTTAGATGCAAATATAAAACTATCAGTCTTTAGCCCAAATTAAAATATCCTACTTGGACTGTAAAATGCCATCTAAACCACTTGACTATTAAACAAGAAAATACACAAACATTGGTTCAGTGTCCTCAGATATTAATTTATGTAAGCATTCTCTTTAAAATGAATATCAGACAAATTATGGCCATATCTATAGACCCTGGATAAACTGGATTGACCAGTTATATACTCACTGTGATTCCTGTTTGTGGGAAGGGGTTGAGGTGAGGGCGGGGGTGGTTTAACCCAGCAGGAGCAACTAAAGTGGGGCTTCCCTCCCGGTGGGGCGGCTGGACTCCCACTGCTCTGAAGGTTTGACTGAAGGGTCGGAAAACTAGATTTTCATGGCTTTCATTGACTGTGATCTTTGCCTGCACACTGGCCACATCTGCGCATAGCTGGTGCTTATGCTGAAGTTATTTGTCATAAGTAAATATTTAGCTTCTTTTTCTTATTTATCATGTTGGTCTGGCATCAGACTGCACTTTCAATTAGCATGTGAACTACTCATCTGTCTTCACCATCAGGCTCTGTATTGTTGATATTTGCAACTTGTTTCATTTTTACATTGGCAGAATTGAAAGAATCATTTTTAATTATGGAAAATGTCTGTTTGCTATGTAGTAGAACATCGATGTTTATATTTAAGCAGTTGCATTTGTTCTCTAGCTCAATATAAGAAAAACAAAGTATTCGATAGCCTGTGTTTTTCACTGAGATCAAGGGCATCTGTACTTGCTGAGTCTTGCCAAGGTCATGTATTCTTCTACATTGCCAAAGTATCTTTATACCAAATTACAGGTGGTTTTAAAATACACCTCATGACAGCTTATAAAGGTCAAAGAAGGAGATTCTTACTTATTAAAGTGGTTTAAATAGACTAGAATTTCCACAAAGCGTAATAGCTATTTAGGGAAAAAAACTGTAATTGAAATAAAGAATAAAAATAAATGCATTGTGTAGTGGCACATGTTTGGCAGACGTTTAATCCAAAAATATAGCTTTTATGGAAAGGAACTGCTTTTACGTGAGTGTTTTCAAAGGGCTTTTTATTGAGTAACCGTCCTGCGTTTCTGTCACTGCCTTTCACAGCCCCTAAAACTTAGCTGCGGTTCCTAAGGTGGTGTGTGTGTCTGTCCTTAAAGTGAGAACTTCTTTGAAATCTGAAAGAAGTCATTGTGTCCTCTGCATTTGCACTGTATATGCTAGTGAGGAAAAGATTCAGACATTTCAAGGGCAAAATCATAATCACAAGTGGGGCCTTCTCAAGGTGTCATAAGATATCAGTGGACTACATCATATTTTTACATCTACATATCAGGGAACATTTTATATGGTATATTTGTGTATTTAAAAAGAAGACATTTTTGTACGTTTCCAATGTTCAAGAACCAAATGAGCAATTGGCTACAGATTCCATTAGCCTTAAACATAATATAAAATTAAAACATGTACACATGATATAGTGCACATACATGAACCATCTTTAATTGCTGAAATAACCTGTATTCTCTTTGGAAACCCTTTGCCTAAATTTGTTATTGAAGTGCCATCTTTTTGTGAGTCAATGTATTTTTCTATTTATAAATCTGTGTAAAAGTAAAGTGTATCTTCAGTGAACATTGTGCCAATTGAGCTTGTAATAAAATAGTGGTCTAGTCTCTGAAGTTTGTATGTGAATATAACTTCATTTCCCATCACACTGTTTCAAACCGGAGGCTGTAATATTAAAGGAAACCAAACCAGGGACACAGATCCCTAAGGTCCTTGATGAGGGGCCAGCCAAGATAACGTAGTTTCCAGAAAGTAATCCAAATATGTTATTATCAAACATTTGTGGATCACCTACAGTGTGGGAAGTGTTGTACTAGACAATCTCAGATGAGCTGAACAAGGATGGTAAGGGCCTGGACAAAAATCAAGTCTGAGAGACAAATTCAAGAGACATTGGGAAGGGCTTAGTAATTGGCTGGATTAGGAGGGGATTTATGGGGAGGTGGACTCTCTGACTTTATTTCCTACCACTGTCCCCCTCACTCGCTCCTCTGCAGGTACATTGGCTTTGGAGTAAAGTGTGCTCCTGCCTCGGGAATATTCGCTGTTCTCTCTGGAAAGCCAGTCTTCCATATATCTGCATGGCTCTCTCTCCCATCCTTTAAAGCTGTTCAGATGCCACCTTATCCAAAAGGACGTGACTGCCCACCTTATATAAAATAGTAGCTGCTCCCCCAGCGTGGCCCCAACCAGATTGTTACTTCCTGACCTGTTATCCAGCTTTGCTTTTGTACGTGTCACTCATCACCACTTGATATCATTTTATATTTTTCTTCATATACTAAGATATAAGCCCCCAAATTGTTTTGCCATTACCCGGAAAAATGCCTGGTGCACATTAGATCCTCCAATGGCTATTGGTTGATTGAATAAAGTACTTAAGAGGCAGCAGGGTCAAGTGAAAGAGTTTTCAAAATAGGAGTCACCATGCCTGTTCAAAGACAGAGGGGTAGAATTTGAAAATTAAGAAACAGCTTCAAAAATGTTTTGGAACACTCACATATAAAATAAATCTTTATTTGTTTATTATGAGACGTTAGGAAATCTGAGAAGTACATTTCTGATCTTTTGAAGTTGATGTTAAGATAGTTAACAATCTAAGAAATGTTCAATAAGGAATGTTTGTTTGGAATTTTTATGAATGAAAAATATATGGCATTCTCAGGCCTTGTGTTATGGGCAATATGACTATATAATGACTGTATAACTGAAAAACTCTCCCACTATACAACACTTAGGTAATGCTGGATAAAATATTTTTTAAATGTACTGTTGATGTCTCAAAGTAAGGGAAATATCCTAAGACCACCCTTCTCCCTCACAACTCAAATGACAACAGCAGCAGCAACAAAGGGAACTCACAACAACCTGATACTGAGTGTGATTTGGTTTTGACAGTGTTAGTTATCCAGGTGCTTGGTTTTAATGGCTACATGCCATTAGGAGAGAAAGTCTTGGATCTGTTAGAAGCAGCACACTGGAATGAAGAACTACCAACCCATCCAAAACACAAAGCCCGGGCCCAGTCTGTCTTCCCTGAGAATTTATAACCCTAAGTCTGTTTTTACACAGTTTGAGATTCGAGTTTACAAGTTTACACTACCTCCCTTCCTTTTCCCCACCAGGGAATGTCTAAGCCAAAAAATTGATAAAAGAATTAACAACATGATTTGTGGTTGATGATACCTGTGGATTACTTGGTAGAAGCAAAGCAAAATATTTTCAGAGGTAACATCTCCACCCAAACCTTACAGGATTCTTATAGAAAACACCCTAGTAAGCATAGACTCACAATTTAAAATGACAGTTCTTTCCTTCCCCCAACCCCTCAGCCAACTGTGAGCGAAGGCCAGTAAACCCAAAACAGCAGGATTTGGCCATTAAGAACTTAAAAGTAATATACTTATCAGATGGAGACCACAAAATAAAAATGTTTAGATTAATTACAAACATAAAGGGAATGGAAACATCTGGGAAAAGAAGAAGACATTATTAAAGATATAAGACTGGTTTGAATTAAAACAAATGACTTCACCTATGAAAAATAGAGCCATTGAGCCCTGGCCGGTTTGGCTCAGCAGTTGGAGCGTCGGCCTGCGGTACAGAGAGACCCGGGTTCGGTTCCCGCTAAGGGCACGTACCTCGGTTGCAGTTTGTCCCGGGCCCTGGTTGGTCGTGCGGGTGGCAGCCACTCGATGTGTCCCTTCACATCGATGTTTTTCTCTCTCTCTCTTCCTCTCTCTCCCTCCCGCTCTATCTGAACAAAAAATGTCCTTGGGTGAGGATTAAAAAAAAAAAAAGAAAAATATAGCCATTGACATTCAGAACTTAACAGTTAGGCCCTGACCAGTGTGGCTCAGTTGATTGGGCATCATCCTGTGCACTGAAAGGTTGCAGGTTTGATTCCTGGTCAGGGCACATGCCCAGGTTGTGGGCTTGATATCCGGTATGGGGGCATGCAGGAGGCAACCAATCAATGTAGTCTCACATTGATGCTTCTCTCTCTAAAAATTTATTTTAAAAAAATATTAAAAAACAAAAACACTTAATGATTAGAAGTTAAATGGCAAATTTGATGGAGTTGAAGGGAGAATTGGTGACCCAGAAGCTAGGTCAGAGGAAATTACACAGAATTTAGCAGAGAGACAGATGAAGAGTTAGTAGGAAAGAAACTAAGAGATATAGAGGGAAGATAAAAGCTCCAAATTATGTTTAACAGGAATTCTAGAAGAAGAAATTAGAGAAAGTAGAGGAAGAGGCAATATTTGAAAAGAAAATAACTGAGAAATGTTCAATAATGATAGGAGACATACAACTTCAGTTTCAGGAATAATTCTCAAGCAGGATATATAAAAGAAATAGTATTTCCAAGATTTCAATTCAGTGTGTTGGATGTAGAACACATCTTTTTCTCCCCTTTCTCTTGAATTCTTGTATAATTGAAAGGAAAAAAAATTTAAGACTGGTTACTCACCCATTCAACCTCAAGTGAAGTACTGAGTATTCTCATAGGCTGAAAGGAACAAAGTCTCAGATGAAGCCTTAGGGTATGGGATTAAAAACATGGATAAGGGATGTGGACTCTGACATTGAAGGTAAGAAGGTAAAGTTGGTGACCATGTAGGTAAGAAGGGCAGGACAATTCTTGTTCAAGCAGCAGAACAAAACAAAGCTGTGAAGGAGCTGGGTAAAGAGCTTGGGAAGACTGGTGCAGTTTCCTCTGTGATTGTTGAGGCAGATAAGACAGGGAGAAGAACTAAGAAAAAGGTAAAATAATTTTTTCAGTCTCTTGGTTGACAATGAAGTGTTGGGCAAATGTTTACTACTAACATTTTTGGTATGTGCCATTGTTATTATTATTATTATTTTTTATCCTCACCCGAGGCCATTTTTCCATTTTTTGTCAGAGTGGGAGGGAGAGAGAGGAACAGAGAGAGAGAGAGAAACATTGACGTGAAAGGGACACATCGAGTGGCTGCCACTCACATGACCCAGCCAGGGCCGGGGACAAACTGCAACCCAGGTACATGCCTTTAGTGGGAACTGAACCCGGGTCTCTCTGGACCGCAGGCTGATGCTCTAACCAGTGAGCCAAACCGGCCAGGGCTGTACCATTGTTATTTAACATTGTTCTGGAATTACTAGTCAATGATTAAACAAGAAAAATAAATGTAAATACCAGATAAAAGGAAAATTATATTTGCAGATTATAGCTAGACAAACTGATGCTAGAGTTTAAATGGAAAAAAACTCAAACAAACTGTGAAGAATAGCCAGAGAAACAATGAATAAGAAGGTGAAGGAAAAAAGAGAGGGGAGGACTGCAGCTAAACCCAGTTATTTAAAAAAAAGTTACAGTCTTAGCTCAAAGGTTAGAGCATCAGTCTTCAGACCAGCCTGCAAACCGAAGGGTTGAGGGTTCTAGGTCAAGGGCACATACCTGGGTTGCAGGTTCGATCCCCAGCTGTGTGTGGGAGGCAACCAATCGATGTCTTACTCGCATCCATGTATCTCTCTCTCTCTCTCTCTCTCTCTCTCTCTCTCTCTCTCTCTCTCTCTCCCTTCCATCCTTCCTCCCTCCCTTCCACTCTATCTAAGAATCAATGGAAAAAATATCCCAGGGTAGGGATTAACAATAACAACAACAAAAAATTACAACAAACACTTTGTAACAGGCACATAAATAGATAAATATATCAAAGAAAGCAGAGCATCCAAAGGTAGATCCATAGAGAAGTGACATTTTGAATTAGTTTGGGAAATGATGCTTTATTCAACTTATGGTATTGGGGGTGGGGCACACTGGCATCCTATGTCATTATACTTAAGTAAATTCCAGAGTAGTTGTAAATTCAAATGTGAAAAATGATACTATGAAAATAATAGAGAAAAATTATGAAAAACAACTTTGAAGAGAGAAATGCAGTTCCAAGTGAAACACCAAATCCAAAACCATAAAAGACTGGGTAAATCTGGATATATATAAATAAAATATCTCCACATGAAAAAATACTATAAGCAAAGGTTAAAATATTGATAAATTAGGAAATAATTTCTAAATGTCAGTAGAGGGCTGATCTTCTCAATTTGTAAAATACTATTACAAATCACCAACACAGTGGAACACTGTGAAGGGTATAAACAGGCAATTCAGAGAAAAAATAGATTTCAAACATTTGGAAAGATTCTTAACTTTATTTATAATTAAATGCAAGTTAAAATAATAATAAAACATTTAACCTATATATAAACTCTTTTTTAAAAAAAGTATATCAATATAGCCGGGCTGGTGTGGCTCAGTGGTTGAATGATGCACCAAGAGGTTCCTGGTTGAATTCCTGGTCAGGGCACATGCCCAGGTTTGGGCCTGATCCCCTGTGGGGAGCATGTATGAGGAGGCCAACTGACGTTCTCTCTCACTGATGTTTCTCTCTCTCTCTCCTGCTCCCTTCCTCTCTCTCTCAAATATCAATAAATAAAATAAAAGTATATCAGTATAGAAGGCTATTATGCCAAAATACAGGAAACATGTTTATCCATAGGCAACCAATGAAAATACTTTCATACAATTGCATATAAATAACTATGAAAAAGAACGTTACATGTTCATTGATAATAAAATGTATGTCGAATACGTATTTATGAGCCAGGAACTATCCTAGGCGCTGGGGATATAGCTGTAAACAAGACGACGAAAATCCCTGCCCTGGTGGAACTCACTTTGCGAGGAGGGGAGGCAGGTAACAGTAGAGAAGCGTGCCTAGGATGCTCATCAGTGTCATAAAGAGGGCGGAGACATGCACACACACACACAGAATGTGTCTGTGCACAGAACATCTCTGGCAGGTAGTAAGAGGAACTGATTGCCTCTGGGGAGGAGAAGTGGAGCTCGGGGGAAGCAACCTGTTTCCCGTGAAAACGTTTGTTTTTCTTTTTTGCCACATATGTAGATCGTTCAAAAGGGGGCAGGAGCAAAGGTGGAGAACCACTACAAGCCTTTAAAAAATTGCTAGTAAAACCCAGCGAGCCCCAGGGACGCGACTGCTTCGGTTGCGGTTGCAGCGTCCCAGGGAGCGGAGGCTCTCGCAGCGCACGCCAGGCAGGTGGGCTTGGGAACGGGGTGGAGAAGGTGTGTGGAAAGCCCTCTGGGGACAGCGCAAACCAAAGACGAGTAAATGCTGATGGTACAGGTAGAGAGGAAAACCAGGCGCTCTGAGAGAGCCCCTTTCATTTTCCCAAACAGAATACCAAGGCCGACCCCGCAGCTCTGCGTCTGCGCCAAACGACAGTGTGTTTTGCCAGCGCCACCACGTGGGGGCGCCGTCAGGTCCAGAGCGCTTTCTTGGGGCCGACGGGAGCCAGGACGTTCGCCTCTTCCGGGTCGGAAACGCCGAAGAGAATCACTTCCTGTGGCGGAGCTACGTCACTTCCTTTCGAGCTCGGCCCTTCGGTGGTGGGTCCCCACGCGCGTTCAACATGCGTATAGAAAAGTGTTACTTCTGTTCCGGGCCTATATACCCGGGCCACGGCATGGTGTTCGTCCGCAACGACTGCAAGGTGAGGTGGCCAAGGCCGGGCGCGCCGCTGGCTCCCCTGGGCCCGAGACCTCGTCCGCTCGGCGTCCCTCCGCGCCGCCGGCGTCTGGCCGATTTCCCCGCGGGAGGGGGCGGCTTTGCGCCGAGCTGCGGCCTTGGCCTCCCGCGTGGGCAGTTTCTTTGGAACGGAGCTGGTCACCGGGCCACCCTTGCGAGGTTGGCTGCGGCAGGGTTCAGAGCGAGCCCAGCCCGCCCAGCGGGGAGCCGGGGGCGGGCCGGGCAGGGTGGCCGCTCTTCCCGGGCCAAGGTCTTCAGTGCAGTGAGCCTTGTGCAGCGCTTGCCGGGCCAGCGCGCTGCTCAGCCTGCGGCTGCACGGGAATAAGACGGGGCTGTCCACAGTGGGTAGAGGTTGATGGAAATGTTGCAGGTGGCTTGATAGTAGACTTATGTATTATGCAATTGTTGGAGGTGAGTTGGGAGGGTCGTCTATGACAGACCCAGAAGGTGATGACATTTATCATGGATCTTGAATTGTGCATGAGAAACGGGGGAGAGGGCACTCTAGGTGGGAGGAAAGTGAACCTTTGAGCAAAGGCACAGAACGAAGCAGTCACATCTCTTTGTATTGTGGATGGTGATAGAGGCTTAGGGTAGGGCTTTAAATGCAAAGGCTATTTGCAAACAGATAGACACAATGTAGATACCTCGTAAGGCCTGGTTGTGAAAGATTTTGTGAATGCTACGTGAATTTGCCTTCTGTCAGAATGAATCTTATTTCTCTGTTTCTTTAACACATTCTCAGAATTTGACCTCTCTTACATTTGCTTCTGAATCAATGGTCACTTGTGAAAAATACAGATTCCTGGTTTCTACCAGATCCATTGAATTGGAAAATCACCCCTAGGAGATGATTTTAACATGTTAAAGAATTACAATGGTTACTTCATTGCCTTATCTCTCTATTATAGATGGAAGATGCTGAGTTCATTAAATTAGGAGTAAGGGTTCTTGCTAAAAGTGAGGGACCAGAGCTATGTTTGGGAACTTGAAAGCGCATGTAGAAGATTTTGAATACCTGCTCTCAGGAACATGATAAAAAAATTTATAAAATGAATCATTGACAGGTTGGAGTCAAAATCACAGTGGGCAGTATGGCTTGTAGATGATCTGGTCATCATGATTTTGCATTTTGGTCCAGCAGTGCTTGTCAGCTGTGTTGGAATGAGAACAACAGATTATAGGAGCTACCTAGAGTTGGGTGTTGATCTGGCAGACACATTGGAAGTTCAGGTTGATGAGGAAGTCCATGTTGCTAGCAAGGACAGAGAAGACCAGTGGATCCAGAACAAATTGATTGGGGAAGTAAAAAGTAGTGGAGGCCCTGCGGCACTAATGAAGAAAAAGTACAGGCACATCTGGGAAATGTTGTGGATTTGGTTCTAGACCACCACAGTAAAGTGAGTCGCAATCTTTTTGCTGGTAGAGGGTCTTTCTTCAGTTTGTTAAAAAAATGCAACAACTGTGAAGGTCCATAAAGTGAAGTGCAATAGTGTGAGGTATGCCTGTGTCTCATTTTATCTGTGTTGATGAATCCCAGGTCTGTATCTCCTTACCTCTAGGTCTAAGTTTTCCACTTGACAGGGTAATCCTGTTTGTACCTAGCAGTGAGCCCACTGAAAGAGAGTTCCTTATTGCCTCAGGTTATTTTGCTCTCTGAATTAATACCACTGTCATCTGCTGGACAGTTTTGCTAGAAATGTAAGAGTCATCTTTGTATCTTTCACCTTTTGTAAGTAGTTATTAAGAGGGCTATTCATTCTGCCTTTGCAAAGGATAGTGGTGTCTTCCCTTTCTTTCCCTTTTCCTGCTCTGGTTCCAGGTTTGTCGCTTCTCTAGCTTCCTAACTAGTCTTTCTGCTTTTATGCTGTTAGCTTTTGAGACCATCTTTCATAGAGACTTCCCCTCTTACACTTCTTAGGTAGCTTCTCAAAGGTAGAATTCGTGATAATGCTCCGTATTTTCACATAGTTTGCAAACAGGAAAAATACATACACCCTTAATGAGTTCTTAATAAATGTTGAATTAGTGGAATAAAAAAGGGTTGAAGGACTTTGAGTGAGGAGTGATTAGATAGATCATTTGTTTGCACATTGAAGACTGAGGATGATGCTAGAGGACTAGATTAAAAGGGAAATTTGAGTCTGTGAAGCTTTGTACTTATAATCTGTCCACCACCTACCCTGCTGTAGATTTGATCACCTTATTGTGTTTCTGTATTACCTTATACATGATTATTGTATGTAGCTTTATCCCATTTTTTATATTCTAGTCTGATCTTGATCTCTCTTATTTGCAAAGTGAGACTTGATCACACTTAGCTTGCTAGTCTAAATTCTCAAAGTAGGGATTTATGGTTTAGTTATTCTGGTATCCCTAGCACCTAGTATAGCATCAGGCACATAGTAGATGCATCTTTTTTACTGATTGAATCTCCTTCTAATCTCCAGTGACTCTAGTCTCTTCAGATACTTTGTGCTTGTTAGATAATGTCTATTAGGTACGGAGTTCAAAAAGACTTCCCTGTAACTTCCATTGGCTCTTTTTGAAATTAAGGAGATCCAGGACAAGTTCAGATCCCTCATTAGATATACCTTAGAAATGGGGATTTGTTTTGAGTTATCTAGTAGGTATTTAAACAGAGGAGGCTTTTACTTAAAAAGGTTATAGTACTTTGGGCTGAAAATGCTCAAAGAAATTTTACTGATAATGATTTCATAGTGAGTTACTCTAAGAGACTACAGTAGTTCTTGTATTTTTAGTTACTTTGGAATTCAAGAATGTAGACAAACTTTCACTCACATAACTCAGAAAAGGGCTCTCACCAGGAGGTATGGGCCTACATCAGTTTAACCTAGCATTGACCATTTCTAAGAAAAGTATGTCCTAGTGTGTATAATGACCTGCTTGAAGTTCCCCATAGAACGAAGTATACATAAAATGAAAAGTATTTTGGCTTATGATATATACAAGTATTTTGGCTTACATAGTTTGAAACGTTTATACCTCCTTTTGACTTATTTTTAAAAATGGGTCACATTTTCTAGGTGTGATCCTTTAACTCAAAAAATTACTTTTTCTTTTCATATTTTCTCTAGTAACACACACAAATTGTAATGTTCTAAGGTATTACAGAGTAACAAAATAATGCATTTTAGACTTATATAATGAGTCCAATAAGCCATTTCAGGAGCACATTGAGGTGTCATTAAGGCATCCTCATTACATTGTAAGCACTGTTAAGGGATCACATCATGTGGGATGAAAGAGGAGAATTAAAGTAGTGACAAATCTTCCTAATAGATTTTAGAAAACAAATCTATAGCCAGGTTTAGTTGCTTTTTTGAAATCATTTTCTACAAGGATGGAAAGAACCAAAGGAGATTTCAGAATGGTGGTTTGAAACGTTTACCCCCACTGAGGTATATAGAAAGTGGATTTTGAGGATTATTCATGATTCAAGATCATTGTAATGTTTTTACTGTTACTTTATAAAAATGGTAGTTTTTAACCATATTTTCAGGGACTTCAGCTTTAAGTTGTGATGATGCTTGATTGTCCCCAAAATAGTTTTCATTTATTATGACATATCCACACATTGCTAAATGCTGTTGTAAATAGAAGCAATTTTAAGTGAGAAACATTGTCATTTCTCAGACTTTACAGTATATTTTGTCTAGTAGGGGTAGAAACAATTTTAATATTAACTTCTCACAATTTTTACTTTTCTCGTAGGTGTTCAGGTTTTGTAAATCCAAGTGTCATAAAAACTTTAAAAAGAAGCGCAATCCTCGTAAGGTCAGGTGGACTAAAGCATTCCGTAAAGCAGCTGGCAAAGAGCTCACGGTGGTGAGTATAGTTTTTACAGTTTAAAATTTCAGGCTTTTTTTTGGTGGTGGTGGTGGTGGGGGGGCTTTATGTGATTTAATTAATTATAACAAAGTTTCCTACAACATGACTGATGGGTTTCTTATTTGTATTTGGTTATGGTAATAATCCTCACATGATCCTAAAAATCATAAATCTGTAGAATTCTGAAAAGGAAAAAATTCGTAATCCAGTTTGTAGAAGTGATTTTTCTTATTGTCAAAAACTTTAGTTCTTGCAAAAAAGGGGGAAAATCATTTAAATGGGTTGTGGTGAAGTTGCTCCTTAGGGATTTTGAGAGGAAGTTAACGGATTAATTAAAGGATTCCTGAACAGCAGTGAGGACTCAGATGAGATTTGTAATAGACTCAGTTATCAGTTTATAGATTTCCTTAGCAGGGCTTTGTATCTGAGAATAGAAAAATTAGTTCGTAGTATTGGTGTGAGGAGGAATAGTGGGGATGAAGGAAATTCGTGTGTGAGCCCCTGTCAATTGCTGCTATTCCTGAATTGGTCATAAGGATCTGGGGAAGCTTGTCCACATTCAACCCCTGCAAAGGGAAGAGGTGAACACTTGTACAGGCTCCCCTTGGGGGAGGAAGATAAACTGTTCCCACCCTCCGTGACTTCCTCTTCCCTCAAACCCATGACTTCTTCCCCACCTCCCTACTCCTTAAGGGCGGTATCTACACAATTGCCATGAAGCTCTTTGCTATCTTTCTTAACACCAGAAGTTTTCAATGAATGTAATGAATATTTTTTGACAAGATGCAGGGCCAAATTGCAATTACTGTTACAAAAATTTCAATATGGATGAGAAGAAACAAGCACCTCAAATGTAGGTGGCTACTATATGAATGAAGAAAGGATGCCAGTCCAGTCATTTGCTGGTGACCTTGTCATTGCTGATATTATTGTGATCTAAATGAAGTTGTGTGTATTATAACTGAACTAGCCAAATATGTAGTTAGTGCTGTTTTGTATGCCTTTGTTAGGTAGATTTGAAAACCAAGAAATATCTGTAGTTTTTCTAAGAAACCTGTAGCTTTTCCAAAATTGTTTTGCATGTTTTAAGATAGATTGGATTATTAACTGTCAAAATACCAGCTACATTTAGAAGGGACCTGAAGAATTCTAGGGCAAAGCTTATGTCATATAGAGGAGCACTATCTTGATTTGAAGATGTGTAGTTTCATACCTTATACTATAACACAAAGGTGTATAGGTCTTCAAATGTATGATGGGTTGAGCCATATGAAATTCTCAATGTTTGACTCTTTTTTGATCAGTGAAAAATGGTAATTTCATATGGTTCAGGCTAATACAAAGTTTTCTGGCTGTGAGTCTCATCTAGGAATGGGAGATTAGGGGAGCTTTTTCAATTTGTTTATAATCCCCGTGATTGTTATATGCCTCTTCTGAAGGACAGGGGTTGAGCTCTTTCCTCCCCTCCCTTTGAAAATCACTTGGAGATAGAGAAATGTTTTCCGTAGGGCTGTCTTGTACATGGTGGGGTGTAAAGGAGAAAAAGTTTGAAAACCTATATTACTGGGATTACCCTGGGGGGAATCTTAACGTGTGTCCATAATTTAATTATTATAGTGCTTGTGAAAAGGAGAATAACTTTTAAGAAATGTTTCTTTCGTGTCTCTGTAAAAATCATATTTTCTCCCCTCTTACAGGATAATTCATTTGAATTTGAAAAACGTAGAAATGAACCTGTCAAATACCAGCGAGAGCTGTGGAATAAAACAGGTAAGTCACAAGGGAATGCCAGGAAATTTCAGGAGACTGGTTTGGGATATTGCCTTAACCTTAATGTTACTTTGCTGTTTAAATATTAAATTTCTTCTCCTTTTTATTGGTTGGTTTTTATTTTCTTATCCTCATTTTAATGGTTCTGTTGTATTTGTGTCTTTTATTACAAGCTATCCAAAATCCTTTCCAGAAGTGGCTGATGTGTTCATTATAAAAAATAATGTAATTATTAAATTTGACATCCCCACACATAAAACATCCAAAAATCTGAGAAAAATATTAGAGATGGAAAATAGTTTGTTGTGTGAGTGTGGCATAGTTAAAATTAACACAAAAACCTAGCATACTTTCTAAGTTTAGATACTTTGATTTAGGGATATAAACAGTGTATTCTGTATAAAATTTAGTGCTTTGGTAAAATGAAAAAGTGTAGCACTTAAGGTGATAATTAAAATTTTCTATCAGAACTTCTAAATGCTTAGCTGAGGTAAAAATGAAGCTATAGGTTACTGAAATTAACAGCAATGGTATCTTGTTTGTGTCTTTGTTTTTTTCTGAAGTAGGCAGACTGACAACAAGTCTACATGTAATAAAATTTAGTTCTTAAGCCACCATGTAGATTCTACTCTGTGTGTGTGTGTGTGTGTTTGAGGCACCTGACCCTGCCTTTTCTTCCTCTGTGAAGTCTTTAGCCATTTCTAGTCTTGTGATGTAGTTTGTTAACTAGAAGTCCCTAATGCTTAGACTTCTATAAACTTGATTAGTCTGTAATGGATCACAGATAGGGCATCTCTTTCAACACATTTTCCTCCGTCACAAGACTTCAGGAAGGAAATTGAAAAGTTGTGAGCCTTTGTGGTGGTATTTGACATCCTCTAAATCTTTACCTTCCTGAACTGTGTGGAGAAATCAGAATTCAGTTTTAGATTTGCCTGTTCCACATAGCACTAAGTATTCTGCCCGCTGGTGTTTTCTTTTTTCTTCCTTTTAAAAAATTAAAAGAAATATTTAAAAAAAAGTTTTTGTAATTAGAGGAAGAGTTTTTCTGAAAAGCAGTTGGTTTATATTGGGTTTATTTGGTAAGGAAATAACACTGATTTAAACTCAAGGATTTCTAAAGAGAATAATAACTTCATAGGATTCTTTTTTATTGTGATATAATTGCTATATAACACTGTACTCATTTCAGCTGTAAAACAAATGTTTGGTATTTGTATATATTGAGAAATGATCACAACAGTAAGTCTAGTTAACATCCCTCATCTCACATAGTTACACATTTTTCATAGGATTCATAAATTGATTCCAAAAGGCACTCTTGTCAAGGATATTATTGGAAGATTCTAAAGCATTTCTGGAACCCATAGAGATTTATTTCATTTTGGCCTTTGTTTTCTCTTGTTACTATTTGAAGATAGTAGCTGCATGTCATCCTAACATATTTTATAACTACTTTTATGTAGTGGTTATTCAGCTTGATGTTGAAACTGAGGTGCATATCTTATTTTAGTCGTGTGGATATTCATTTACTATGACCCTCCATGCTGGTTTTGTGTTACATTGATTGCGAGAAATACCATTGTGTCCTGTAAGACTTCATATACTTGAACAGTAAGCACTGACTCTAGCATGCAAAGATGAACAGATTGCACACAGTTCCTGTCCCTCGGTGCAGTTTGTTGAGTAGTACTATTTTATTGCTTCTGTTAGGTGGTATTTGGTTCCAGTATGATCACAGTCTCATTCCCTTGCCCATTAGTTTATACTTCTGCCAGTTCTGTAAGAAATGGTGTACTTTGAGTATTTTCCCTGCACAGATTCTGTTGTCCTTTCATATTGGGATCTTAAAAATAGACTTTCCAAAGATGATCTGGGTACACAATATGAGTCTTTTGGAACTTAAACTGTTTCCTGCTGGTTTACACAATTAACAATAGCCATTAATAGTGCTCCAGAAAAATATATTCTTCTAAAAGATTTCCTGATTCCGTACACTCCCTATTTCAATATCATCTTGTCTATAAACTAGTGTATTGAAAATAGTTTTAGCCCTGGCCAGTTTGGCTCAGCGGTTAGAGCGTCAGCCTGCGGTCCGGAGAGACCCGGGTTCGGTTCCCGCTAAGGGCGCGTACTTCGGTTGTAGTTTGTCCCTGGCCCTGGTTGGTCGTGCGGGTGGCAGCCACTCGATGTGTCCCTTCACGTCGATGTTTCTCTCTCTCTCTCTCTTCCTCTCTCTCCCTCCCACTCTATCTGTACAAAAAATGGAAAAATATCCTCGGGTGAGGATAAAAAAAAAAAAAGAAAATAGTTTTATATTTACTGCTTGCATTATCAAATTGTGTGAAGATGTGGACTGGGCAACCTTTGTGGAGATGCTGACATCCACAGAAACAGCATTAGGAGAACTCTGAAAGCAGTAATAGTAGGAAGAAGAATTTGTATTTTATCCACTCATGTCTCTCTGTTGCAGATCTATTTTTAATACCTATTAGATGCTTCGTATGTTTAAAATTTTTTTGTCTTCTGAAATATCCAGAAATGCAGTGTCTTGTTCTTGGAAAGAATTTACCTGCCACTTGTGTGTTTATTTCCCTTCTAAGTAACGTCAAGGTGCTTCTGAACACTAGAACTTGCCCTTACAATTTTTGCTGAAAGGCAAAGAAAGAAGGAAAAAAGTTAGGTTTATAGTTGTGAGTACATGAAACATAGAATTTATTCTTGTATTATTATTAATTAATTATTGTATTATTTTCCATATAAGCAATTGTGAACCTACTTTTGCCCCATCCTAGGTTTGTTTTTTTGTTAATCCTCACAAGAGGATATTTTCTCCATTGATTTTTTGTTTAAAAGGAGAGTGAGAAACATTGATGTGAGAGGAACACATTGATTGGTTGCCTCCTGCACGCACCCCAACCAGCCCGGGGATTGAACATGCAACCCAGGCACGTGACCTTGACTGGGAATTGAACCCGAGATCCTTTGGTGTGGGGGCCAACACACTAACCACTGAGCGACACTGGCCAGTCCTATCCTGTATTATTAATTCTAAGGCACAGCACTTGCAGATTTAATGTTGACATTGTCTTAGAGTTATTCATATAAACATCATCTTAATACATTCCTCTGTCCCTAAATATCTTAATATATATTTCCTAAAAATAGAACATTCTCTCATACAAGCACAATGCAGTTATTAGAATCAAGAAATTAACATTAATAGAGTAGAATCATTTAATTTTAGAACTGTTTTGATTTCTCTAACTATCCCAATACCTTTTATTGCAAAAGTTGTTAGAATAGTACATGTCATGTCTCTTTGGTCTCTTTCAATTTGGAACAGTTCCTGAGTTTTTCATATTTCATGACATTGACCATTTTGAAGAATATAAGCCAGGTGTTTGGTTTAAAATTCCTTAATTGGGTTTTGTCTGATGTGTTCTTAGATTAGATTTGGAAAATGTACATTTGGCAGGCGCATCATTGACATGATGTTGAGTTCTTGTCCTTGTCCTGTCAAGATTTACCTCCTGTTCATTAGTCCTATTACTGGCAGTGCTAACTTTGACCGTTGGTTATGAGGGTGTCTGCCAGCTTTCTACACCGTAAAGTTTATGTTTTGCCCTTTGTAACTAATAAGTCTATTGTGGAGAGATACTTTAAGACTGTGAATAGCTTGCTATTCCTCAGCTCCACAGATTATACTTTAAGAAGCTAGATTGGGAGTATGCTGTTCAGTGTGGTAGCCACTAGTCACAGGGTATGCTGAGCTCTTGAAATGTGGCTAGTCTGCATCGAGACGTGCTGTAAATATAAAAAATACACGTGGTTTTTGAAGACTTAGTATGAAAACAAGCATACAATGTCTCAGTAACAATTTTTTTTATATTGATTACATGTTGAAATTACAATATTTCGAATATGTTGGTTGACACAAAAGATATCGTTAAATTTAATTTTGACCAGTCCCTCTTTTTTTTTTTTAATGTGGCTGCTAGAAATTAAAAATTACATGTGGTATGTCTTGTATTGGACAGCGCTGATACAGCTACTAGAGCATTGTTGCACTCAGCTCCTGTACACATTTTCCAAAACAGTTGGATTTTAGTGGTTGAGAATGTGGCAGATTGGTTGACTGGTTCATTTGACCAGTATTCATAATGCGCAGATTATATCCCAGGCACTTGAAGAAAACTGGTCTTTAACTGGAAAGATGCTCTTGTATTTATGGAGAAGACAAGTTAAGAATGGTATTCATTGCTATTAATCTGAGTTCTCTGTAGAATAAAATTTGAAAAACATTGGACTGCTTGAATGTAGAAGGAAAATTAGTAGCAAAAACTTTTATTAAATAAAAATGAAATGATACTTGTAAAAGATAGAGTTAAAAGTGATGTCAGCAAAGGGTACAGACCTTCCTCAGCTGTTTTAGTAGGGGTTTTTAAAAATGAGTTTTTTATTTAATCAATTTCTAAATCAGAATAAAGAAGTGATTGTTAAAGATCTTGCTTGAATGTGAATAATTTGCTAACTCTTATGAATTTTTTTGTAGTTGATGCAATGAAGAGAGTTGAAGAGATCAAACAGAAACGTCAAGCTAAATTTATAATGAACAGGTATGAATATATGTGTAGAGTACTTGGAAAACTAACTACTAGTGGGCATTTAGAGACTCCCCCCCCCCCCACATAACTTCACACTTACAAAACCCAGCAAGAATAGTATAAAGAACTCTCCTGTATTCTGTTAGCATTTTGCCACATTTACTTTCATTCTTGTCTCCATGGCATTCTGTCATAGAAAAGAAGCAGGAGCCAGCAACTTTTTAGCTTTAAAAGATTGTTAAAGCATCACAGAAAAGGAGCCTAAATGTTTGAGAGCAAATGTGTTAGTTGAATATCTTACAAGTTTTTGCCCTTGTAATTACTGAATGATTTAAAAAGTTAAGTAACAGACTGTTCTGTATTTGAGGAGAAAAGATCTAGGCTCTAGAAAAGATTTGCACTTGTGTATAATAGACATTGGTCTCTGAGATTTAATTTCTTGCTTCAGTCTCATTCCTTCATTCACTCCACAAATGTATATTGAATCCTCATTTTATTTCCAATTAGGAACTTTGAATGAACAAGTTCGCAGTGTAGGAATCCTATTTAAGCTAATTTGGTATTAGAAAATAATTGAGTTGGCACTCCTCATTTGTATGGCTTATTTAATTAATAAACTTTATTTTTAAAAAGTTTTAGTAGCTGAAATTTTGGCCTGAATGTTTTTTATCCCAGGTTGAAGAAAAATAAAGAACTACAGAAAGCTCAGGACATCAAAGAAGTCAAGCAAAACATTCATCTTATTCGGGCCCCTTTTGCATGTAAGTAATGTATGACAGAGGAGTTGTCTGCTTTAGGTGAACAAATCTAGACTTTTGTGGTCTGTGTAATTGGGTATCAAACCAGTTTTTTAAGGGTGAGTATTTTTTCATATAAATGTTATTTTACTACATTTATGATACGACTTGATTAAAAAATAGAATTTATTCAATGTATTTTGCAGTTCCAGTCAGTCTTTTATATGTATTTTTTTCTCTCCTTCACAAAATTCTATTTTCTATAATAAATCTCCCCAAGTTAATCAAAAGGAGTTGAGTAATAATTTCATAGATAATTTTGCCTCATACCTGTTTTTATTAAAGGACAGTGTTTTGTCAGTGGTCGGTTGGAGAACTTAGCATAAATACAGAGGCTCAGGCCCTTTGAGTTGGGCCTCTATTCTTTAAGTAGTTCTCCAGGCATTTCTGATAACGTAAGTTTGAAAACTAGTTTTGTATTTAAACCTCTTTGTGCTTATGTAACTTTATTGATAGTCACTCATTTGGGCAGTTGTCTGTGTGCGCAGTTTCTTTTGTGAGAAAACCAGTCTTATTTTGGTGAGATTTAGTCAAAGACTTGATTACTGAATGATTCCATGCTTAGGCCTTAGTAAAGGTTAAATTCTGTGAGCACGTGTTGAGTAGATTTGTGTTAAAGTTTTACCTTGGTTATTTTCATACCAAATTTTATTAAAGCTAGATAGAACCCTGGAGCATTTGTTTCACATATAGATGATATAAACTGACACCCAGAAAACAATAGGAATGAACCATGTTATCTTCAGTTTCCAGGAAACCCTCTGAAGTTAGTAGTACAGTGTTTAGAGCAGGGATCATGGATTCATGAGCACAGGGTTCATATTCCATCATTTAGACTTACTGGACTTAGCAGCTGAGAGACCTTGGGCAAGTTCATCTGTCTTATGCCTCAGCTTTTCTTATCTTTCAAATGCAGGCTGTGCCCTGGCCAGGTAGCTCAGTTGGTTAGAGGATTGTCCTGACATTCCAAGGCTGTGTGGGTTAGATCCCTGAGCAGGCAGGGTACATATAGGAATAAACCAGTGAATGCATAAACAAGTGGAAGAGCATATTGTTGTCTCTCTCTCTCTCGTTGATAAAAAATAAAATGCAGGTTGCTATGAGGGTGAAATGAGCAAATGTAAGTAGAATGCTTACTTAATGTGTGGCATATTTTAAGATCTGTATAAGCTCATTTACTGTTCTTAAATATCTTAGAAATGCCAGTGTTACTTGAAAACATTCAAGGTCCTTTATAAAGTGTTGATGAGATCTGTAAGGTCACATTGAATTGATAAAGTTTTTAAATTTTCTTTTTTCTTTTTAGGCAAAGGAAAGCAGCTGGAAGACAAAATGGTACAGAAATTACAAGAGGATGTGGAGATGGACAATCTTACTGATTAACCATATCTATGAGTGCATTGGAAAATCTTCTTTAGAGACTTAGACACTCTAAGTTATTGACTTATTTTTTACATAAGGTGACGCGAATGAAAAGGTGATTAAAAATCCCTCTGTCCTACATTACTAACTGCAAAACATCATATAATGTGGATGCTAGATTGCATCTCAGTATTAAACCTCCACTGACAAATGTATTTAGGTAAATCATGAAAATTCTGTAAATACAAAGTGAATTGTAGATATAAAATGACCATACCACTTGGGTAATGGCACCAGGTAGCCTTTATGTAATAACTAACGACAGACAGACATGACTAATGATGGATAAAATAAAATGTTCTTTGCAGTAAAAATCTTCCCTTTATTAATGTTATAGAAGGAGGGCTATAGCAAGGAACTAACCATCTGTGTGCTAATGAGCTTCGGGTACTAATAATATCTCTTTATTTGATTCCAATATTTCATGTTTTGTTTATTAGCATCTTAGAAGAACATAATGGCCTCATATATTGAAGCCCAGTTCTGCTGGACTGTTTTGACCTGGTTTAACTCTGGATAGGCAGTTGTGGGTGTTGGGGTGAGAGCTAAAAAGATGTTTCTGAAATGGCACTCTGCTCTCTAATTTCACTGGAGAAAATTCTAATTTGAGATTCCTGGTAGAACAAGCTTTATTTTTCCAGCCCAACAGTGATTTAGAAGCAGAGGAATCCAGAACCTTTCAACATTTTTTGTGTGCTTTTCTTTTAAAAAGCTAAAATTGAATTTATGTGTAGACTCTATGTTAATTGCATATAAAAACATTTCTGTAGTAAGTGCCTACATATTTATTACTTAAAGGTACTAAACAAAATATTGACTAAATAACTTCACCCACATGTACTACTGATGTAGGAGATATATTTAAAGAAAAGTATATACTTCCTGTTCCTGTATTTTTATGTTATTTACAAGTAAGTATATTAAGAGTATTAAGTAACTCAGTTTTTATTTTTATTTTTTAGGATAGAATTTAGAATACATTACACATTCTTGGGGTTATATAATAATATAGTAATGACTATATTTTTACTTCAGCTTTAGTAATAAAGTGGAATCACTGGACCAAGGGTTAAAATGACCTGAATTCCAGTGTGGTTTTGCCTTTGTGTTCTTATTTGTAAAATATGGCTCATTTGTAAACAATATTATTGATAATAATTAGAGGAAATATATATGCAATCAAAGAGATTTATAAAATTACTTGAAATTTTCACCCATACTGTATTCATGTTTGTTTTAATATAAACATGTTCAAAATTACATACTGTGGAAACATGTTTCCTACTGTGCTGGTTAGGGAGCAAATTAATGGCCTTGAGACCATTAACTTGGGGAAATTGAGCTAAAACAAAGAGCGTCTCTTAAGTGTAAGGATAGATTTCATAGTATTTTGAGACCTCAGATCTCATAAACTAGAATGTATTCAAGTGCCACAGTTTTATTCCCCTGCAGCTATCTAAGCTTGGTTAGATCACTGAAATCAGTTGTCCCTTTAAAATGTTGCCTGATAGGTGACATGGTACATGGTTTTTAGGTTACTGTTGTTTCACCTTGCCTGGTCAAGACCTCTGCTGGGCAGTTAGCATAACACAAAAACTTAGAATTGTTTGAACACTCACTACACAGACTTTTTGTACACGTATACCTCAGAGATACTGCAGGTTGTTTCAGACACTGCAGTAAAGCTAGTATCAATAAAAGTGAGTCATAATCTTTTTTGTTGTTGGGGGGTGGGGTCTTGCCTTCAGTGTATAAAAAATGCAACATTTGCCCTAATTGGTTTGGCTCAGTGGTAGAGTGTCGGCCCATGGATTATTGAGTCGTGGGTTTGATTCCAGCTAAGGGCACGTACCTCGGTTGCGTTCGTCCTGGCCCTGGTCAGGGTTGTGCAGGAGGCAACCAGTTGATGTGTCCCTCTCACATCGATCGTCGATGTTTCTCTCCCTCTCTCCCTTTCTTTCCCTCCCTCTCTCCCTTTCTCTCCCTCCTTCTCTCTCCCTCCACTCTGTCTGAAGATAAATAGAAAAAAAAATGCAACATCTGTGAAGCACAATAAAGCAAAGCATAATACAACAAGGTATGCCAATATTCTTCAATTGCCTAAGAGTAATATAGAACTGGAAATCATAGAATTTTCTTACACACTGTACAAAACCTTGTAAGAATACAGGAAAAATTCTTCTATTAAAAAAAAGTCTTTCCTTAAAAACAGGAACCCTAGGAAGATGTTTATTCTGTAGAAGGGAGTTTGAGAGCACTGGCCTGTTTTACAGTATGTCATGAAGCAGACAGCATTATTATTATTTTATAGATGGAAAAATTGTAGGTCTAGGTAATGCCTCTTTTTCACACACCTGGAAGATGGAGGCCGCAGGGGCTCTGCTCATATGAGTCTGTCTCCCAAGTTGCTCCACACGTACATAGAAACGAGTTATCCAGCACCTCCCAGACTCAGCCTTCACAAACTAGGTGTTTGCTGTAAGACATCACTATGTAAGTTACTTGAGTGACACTCGATTATGACTTGGCTTTTTAATTTTTTTTTTTTTTTTTAATCCTCACCTGAGGACATTTTTCTATTTTTTGTTCAGGTAGAGTGGGAGGGAGAGAGAGGAACAGAGAGAGAGAGAGAGAGAGAGAGAAACATCGACGTGAAGGGACACATGGAGTGGCTGCCACCCGCACGACCGACCAGGGACGGGGACAAACTGCAACCGAGGTACATGCCCTTAGCGGGAACCGAACCCGGGTCTCTCCAGACCGCAGGCCGACGCTCTAACCGCTGAGCCAAACTGGCCAGGGCGGCTTTTTAATTTTTTTAAAAAAATCCTTACCCAAGGATATTTTTACATTTATCATCAGATAGAAGGAGGGAGGGAGGGAAAGAGAGAGAAACATCGACGTGAGAGGGACACATTGATTGGTTGCCTCCTGCACAACCCCACCAGGGGACTAACTGCAACTGAAGTACGTGCCCTTGACTGGAATTGAACCCACAACTCTCTGGTCCATGGGCTGTTGCTCTAACCGCTGAGCCAAACCGTCCAGGGCTGACTTGGCTTCTTCATGTGCCAAGTGGAGATGATGATCAGACCAACCTCAGTATTTTTTATGAGGATCCAATCAGTAAATGTAAAATAGTCATTTCAAGGCTACCACCATAGTAAGCTAGTGTTAGCTGTTAGGATTGGCTGTGTATCTCCCTGCCCCCGTCCTTTAGCTTACATTTTAAATGAAGATCTGGAAAAAGACATAAAAGTTAACATGGCAGCCTGCTGAATTAAAAGTGTTGAAAAGAAAAGTGTATATAGTGTATATCTCTGTGTTGATACATGGAAGACTTGAAAGGTAACACACAGGTTTTATGGTGCATGGCTTTTATACTGAGTGTGTCAATCAGCCTAATGATGATCTCATCGTTTTTGTATCTTTGGACGAATTTCTTTTTATAGGAGAAATGACCTTTATCTAAAGAATGCATTTTTATGTTCTGAATGTAAGAATCTACTTTCTGGTGCCATGGGTTGAACCTGACTTACGGTCTCCTGCTTGAACATTCTCCCTAGGTTGAATCTTCTTTATTTTTATTTTTCAATTACAGTTGGCAAACAATGTTATATTAGTTTCAGGTGTATAACATAGTGATTAGACATTTATATACCTTATAAATGACCACCCTGATAAGTCTAGTACCCATCTGACACCATACATAGTTATTACAGTATTATTGACTGTATTCCCTATGCTGTGCTTTTTATTCCCAGGTTTTGAATATTAACTGAAGCTATCATGTGGGGATTGGAGGTGATATTTCTGCCACATGCCCTTCCCTGGGTTACCAGTTACCTGACTGATTCTCTAAGCTCTCATTGATTCTATATCCCCCACCCTACCACCCTCCATGATCCTGCCAATAATTTCCTTTTGCGAGAGTTTGTAACCAAAAATCTTGACTGATGGACATCCTCCTCTCCCTCCAGCAAATCCAAGCAACCAAGAGTGCAGGGTCTTTCTTTCTTACTTCAGGCACATATTAAATACTTGTGCATGAAAGATGCTCAAAAAATGTGACTACGTGGGAAATGAGTGTGTAGCCATATGCTAGGTTTGCTTTAGTTTATTTTTTAAATAATCAGTAACTTGAAGGATACAAAGAATAAATTACCAGTACAGAGAGACATTAACAAAGGAAGCATCTTGTCTGTGACTTCAGATCTGCTCTGTTGAGAAGACCTGCTGAAGAGCAGTGCATACCTTGGCGTTGCATACCTGATGCTTCTTCTGTCCAGTTGTCGGCGTTAGGCCAGCTGCATTTCTGGGTCTGGCTGGAGTATCCACATGTTGAGAAATTCCAGGACGGACCAAGCATGGGCTGTTTTCTCATGTTTCTTGCTTTGCTGAACTTGCTTTGCCAAAGGAGTTAGTACTTTATTTCAGGAGCCACAGAGTCCAAAAATAGAAGTGTGGAGAATCTTAAAACAGGACAAAGCAAAGTTAACCAAAAAACAAAGGAGAATGGCTCCTTTGTATTGTGAAAAACTTTGTTTTCAGAATGCCAGCTTTAAATCCTTGTTTTGTCTAGTATTTGTCTAGTAAAGTGTGTGTCTGTGTGTGTGTGTGTGTGTATTTGGCTCGACACCAAGCCGTGGACTCTTAGGAATACCAATGAAAAGTATGATGCCAGTCTAGTCAGTGAGTTAGTTACCCCACACTTAGTGATAGTGTCACATATTCTCCTCTGAGGTCCAGGAATGCAGTGTAGGCAGTGAGCATGTATTACAGGCAGTCCTGTATTAAAAGGATACAATTGTATCTGGTGATGCATGTTAACTAGAATATTGTGGTTGCACATTGTGCAATATTTACAGATCAAATTATGTTGTACATCTGTAACTAATATAATGATGTGTGCCAATTATATCACAATTTAAAATATCAGCAAAAAATATTCCAATGGTATATTTCAAAGAAATAGAAAACAATTCTAAAATTTGTATGAAACCATAAACGAAGTGGAGACAGAGTCATGGGTACAGAGAACAGACTGACAGCTGTTAGAGGGGAGGGGTTGGGAGCTGGGTGAGAGATAAGTTGGTGAGGATGTGGAGAAAAGGGAACATTTGTACAGTGTTGCTGGGAATGTAAATTGGTATAGCCACCATGGAAAATAGTATGGAGGTACCCGGAGAAATTTAAAATAGAATGACCATTATTTTCTAGCAAACTCAGTTCTTGTTATTTAGGAAGATACCTGTACTCACATGTTAATTGCAGCATTACTCACAATATCCAAAGTATATAAACAATCTCAATGTCTGATGATGGATGAATGGATAAAGAAAATGTGTGTGTGTGTATAAATATAACACGGAGTATTATTTAACCTTAAAAAGGAAGGACATTCTGTTATTTGTGAGAACATGGATGAGCATTGAGGGCTTAGAACTGCTAAGTGAAATAAGCCAGACAAAGACAAATACTGACTGCATAGTATCACGTATGTGTAGAATCTAAAAAAAGGGGCGGGGGTGGGGGTAGGGTCTTTTGTTTAGAAACTAAAGAAAGTGGTTACCAGGAGCTGGGTGGTTTGTAAATGGCTACAACTTTCAGTTAAAAGGTGAATAAGGTCTGAGGATCTAATGTATAATTGACTGTAGTCGATAACTGTTGTGTAATTGGAATTTGCTAAGAGTAGAACTTAAATGTTCTCAATAAAAGCAGGTAAATTTGGGAGGTGATGGATGTTTGGATGTGTTCAGGGAAATCCTTTCACAATGTGTACATACAGGGTGGAGCAAAAGTAGGTTTACAATTTTGAGTATGCAAAACTTGAGACAAATAAGAGATTTTACCCATGGGAATTTAGAACTTCTTCTGGGGTGCTAGTAACAGTCTCGCCAGCAGGTTGTTCCCTGTGCAGGAGACGGGGAGGGGCAAATGGCAGGAAGCTACTTTCTCTCCTCAGCCAAATCCACAACCTTCAGGAAGACTGAACGGGGAGCTTTGGGAACATAGCTTTGAACCCCAAGGAAATCCCAGGGATGCCTGAAATATGAGAGTTGGTTTCTATTTCATTTATTTATCCAGAGAGTCAGTTTATTAAACAAATATATAAAAACAACCTCTGTCAGTGTTGCTAATTGTTCCTTTTCAAGCATGAATGCTCCAGTCCTGGAGCTCTCTGTCCATATGCAGTAGTACAAACAAACTTGGTTGGTTATTTAAAATTCAA